TTTTCAAAATTTAAAATGGCGGCTCCAATATGGCGGACGATATCGACCCTTCAAAGGGTCGAATTCCGCCCTTACACACGAAACTAGGAGCAATTAAACAGTTTGTCAAAGCCTTAGATAAAAAAGGAAACTGTTTCAAATACCTGGAACAAAAGTTTCCAGAAATCTCTGATGCGAAACTAAAAGAAGGGGTTTTCGACGGACCTTGTATTCGCAAATTGTTAAAAGATGAGCAATTTATCACCAAGATGAATAAAAAGGAGAAAGCCGCATGGCTTAGTTTCAAAGCAGTTGTCGAAAATTTTCTGAGTAATCACAAGAGTGAAAATTGGGAGCAAATAGTTAGTGATATGATTAAAAACTTTGGTAAGTTAGGATGCTTAATGAGCATAAAGTTGCATTACTTAGACTCGCATCGGGATCAATTCCCTGAAAATTTGAGAGATTACAGTGAAGAACAAGGAGAACGATTCCATCAAGATCTGAAAGATTTTGAGCTTCGTTATCAAGGAAGAAGGGATGTAAATATGATGGCCAACTACTGTTGGATGCTGAAAAGGGATATTGTACATGGAGGCACCAATTTGAAAAGAAAACCATTACACAGATCCTTTGAGGACAAAAGAGTGCGCTACCATAAAAAGACGTAAATACCTTACTTATGTATATAAGAATTTCCATTTCTAGTTTTGAAAATCTAACTTCAGATTCGTAATCAGCGACCCAAAAAACCCCTAGATACCAAGTTTGAAGTAAATCCATCAATTTTTACAAAATTCGTCCGCCATATTGGAGCCGCCATTTTAAATTTTGAAAATCTAACTTCAAATTCGTCATCAGCGACTCAAAAAACCCCTAGATACCAATTTTGAAGTAAATCCATCAATTTTTTAAAAAAATAGCCTACCTCTCAAAATCCGACAGGTTTTTGGAGGTTAGAAAAAAATCCTGACGTGATGGAGCAAAACGGACTTCGGATTCGTGTTCAGCGCGTCAAAATACATGGGAAATGACTAGTCTGGTCTGCCGCGCACGACACTTTTTTTTTGTGGGGCTGTGTTATTTGCCACGTCTACTAGTGACTTTCAACACTTAATATTTATTATTTTATAATTGGGAAATTACAAAGGATGCTATATTTGGCTACAAGTGTGGAAATCGTATGTGAACATATGTCTACACGTACACACACAAACACAAAGAAATGTTCGCGCCTTTTCTATTTTTCAAAAATTGATCCTATTAAAAAAATTAAAATGTGGATAACTTTGAAATAGGAGCAGCTAGGATTTCATTCTAAACGGATTTTTCACCTACAATCATCCATAAATACAACCCCACTTTCAGTTTTTCTTGACACTTTTGTTCAACCTATCGTCGCTTCCTGCCCACCGTGCAGAATAACAAATTAAATAAAACGCGCGTGGTATCACATTTAGTTTAGTTTAATTAATAACAATAACGAACTGTAACTTCATTAGAATGTTGATTTTTAATATTTTAACGTGTTTTCAACTGCCTGACGAATGATAACAAAATCCAGGGACAAAATTAAAGAAGATATTTTATAAATAAGGTATAGTGTAATGTCATAATTATTTCCATATTAATAATCTACAACTATTCAAAATTACTAATCAAGTATAAATTTTCCGCTAAACACTTGAAAAATAATTTTTTTTCACAATATGAACTGTCAATTACACTGCGGAACATGCCAGACGAATGAGAATTTAGCACTTTGATGTGTATTTTTTGCAAGAAATATTTTTTTTATCGGCTGCTTTTTAGTGCCACAATAGAAACCATTTAGATTTACAATTTTCATAAAAAAAAATTTTTTTTTTTAAATTAATATACAAAATAAGCTTGATCGCTCATAATTCCCTCGTTTGTAGAATTACCCATATAATTATAATTAAATTCTAATTTAATAGAATTTCTATTTAAATAAACTTTTACATAACAGATTTTCAAATACATTGAATTTATGCAAATAATACAATTTCTATTTAACAAAATTTATGTCTAGCAAAATTTTCACAAAGAAGACTTTTTATTTATTTTTGTTCTTTATCGAATTTTTATTTATTCGAATATTAATTTAAAAATCATTTAAGTAACTTCATTTAATATAGTTTATTTATTAAATTCAATAAAAAAATGTAATGAATTTTCATTAAATTTGATTAAAAAAAGTTTTTAGGGTTGCTGAATAAAAATCTAAAACAGACGTTTAAAATTAAAAATGGCAGATTCAATATGGAGGACGAACCTAAATTTTTTTTATAAATTGATGAAATTGTTTGAATCTCGCTACTCGGAGGGTCTTTGCGGTCGCTGAATACGAATCTGAAGTCAGATTTTCAAATTTCAGAAAAAATTAACGACTTTTAATAAAACTGTGAAATTTTAAAAAGTGTAAACGACTTTACCAGCGCGGGATAAAGAATGAAGATTAGAACTTATAAGTACCGCAAATAATCGCAATACTGATATTTCTCTACTTGCTAAGAAATATTATGAGTTGAAAAACCTGTTCGTCTGGAGCAAGTCTGTAGTTCAGATCTGCTGTAGTTACAGTCCTTTTGTGTAGCTTGCTCAGTTCAATGTATTAATAATAAATGTATATGAGAGTTTTTTCTCTTCTTTAAATAATATTTGAATATTTTCTTACTGTATTTTGAAACTTTATTTTCAAAATTTAATTTTTTGTTTTTAAATAATTTAGTTCAAATGAAATTTTTAGAAGCAAAAGTTGTAACATTAGGCCAATGGAGTGAGTTTATTTCTTGTTTAATTATTTTATTAATACATTTTCTGTTGACGAAACCAAAAAAAAAAAAAGAAATTTTAAATAATTATATATATGGGCCGAAATTCCTGAAGTAATTCAGTTTCCAAAATGTGATCATTGCATTTTTTGAAAAATCATAATTATTAAAAAACAGGGTGAAAAAATTAATTTTTTTTTAATTGGATCACTTCAGAAATTTTGCCTCATATATACTTGGGACCTATTTTAGAATTTTTTGCACTTAAATTCAGTAAAAAAATATTCTTAAAATTAGAATATTAGTATATAGTATACATTCCAAATGCTAAGAATGTATACTAAATACTAAAAATCTATAGTATATACTAAGAATATATTCTAATTTTAATAATAACTATAGCGTTATATTCCTCGCTCGGTTCAATATTAAATATATAAGTTTCGCAGTAGGAAATTTTTGTTTTGGTGTCGATCAGTGTCAGTCGTTTTTGAACTTAATACAATAAGAAGGATATGAATTACTGCATTTAAACATAAAATATTGTAAAATAGGTTCCATAAAAACGTGTTAAAAGATTTAACTTGTTATATTTTAAAACATTTGAAAAAAAAAACCTTAAAAAACTTTTAATTTATGGTTACAAAAATGTACAAGATTTCTTAAAAGATCAATTTTTGAGAATTTTAAGACCTAAGAAAAGTGATTTCCCCAATATTTCATTTAGATATTATAAGAAAACTGCCATTTTCAATGTTTTATAAAAATTTGAATTACTTCTAAAATAATAATGAACGCTTTTTAATGTTCCAAGGCTTAATTTATAGGTAATTTTCTACTGAATGGTAATTACTTGTAAGCACTAACGTATAATATTGAAATATGTATAAAAATACGAGTAATCTTTTATTTGCTTTTCGAGCATACAAAGTTAAATGAGGCACAGGACATTTTTTAAAAGTATATATTCTTTTCTTGTTACAAGTATTCAAAATAAAAATTTTTGATCAATATCAGTTTCGAAAGCTTTTTTGATGCTCTTTCTATTCTGCCGTGCGAAACAAAAACTTAGTTAAGTCATATTTTGTTCGAACGGAAAAAATGACGAAAAACTATTTCTATTTAAAAACCTAATGTAATATAAATAATTCTTTAATCTAACTTCACTTCCTAGGTAATTTGATAGAGTTCTTTTTAATTCTGAAGTCAAAAGTTAATTATTTAAACAAATTATATTAAATAATTGACTTACGTTTTATTTTTTAAAAGCAAAACTTGGTTAACTCGAGTTACGTAGTGCTTTTCGAAAAGGTAGGCGAGCGCGAGCCTTCGTTCAGAAGTAAGAACTTAGTTAACTCAAGCTAAATGCATGGGATTCCGAATTCACCCGAGGAAAATCCGAACTTTGACGAAGTTGACTTACGCTTGCTCCCATCGAAATGCAGTGTCCGGCTCATGCCACTTTTCGAAAGAGAAAACACTCAAGTCGAGTTAACTGAGTTTTTATCAAGTATTCTTTCATTTTCTGGGTTTTTGTAGATTTTTAATAACTATTTTTTGCAATAAATAATTAAAATAAAAAATTTTTAATAACGTAATCAGACGCAGTTTTTTCTTACGAATCCATTGATACCAAAAACTCATTTTTGTCAAAAATATGACTTAACTAAGTTTTTACATTGTACGGCAGAATATATATTTTTGAAAAAAAAGTTTTTGACATGAAAAAATGAAACTAAAAAATAAATTTGACATATAATTCTAACTGTTTAAAATGAGCTATACACTAAAATAACAAAAATTATTTTAGGTGTTGGAAAAACTGCCGTAACTCAAAGATATGTCAACAAAACATTTGAACCTGTCTATAGCAGTTCAATTGGAACAAGTCTTCTACGTTGTAAATTAAATATTGAAGACATAAATCTGTCATTGCAAGTGAGATGAAATTTCGTACTTAAAAAAAAAATTAAAGGAATCTTTCTTTCTTAATGTTGACAGGATAAATATTTCATTTAAAAATATAGATATTATTATTTTGAATACAGGTTATATGATGTGAAAGTTTTGAATGTTAAAATAAAAAAAAATATTTTTTTAATATTAACTTCTATTTCCCTATATCACGAATCAAACAAAATTTATATGTTTAAATAAAAGATATTTTAACAAAAAAAAAATGTATTATTGAATTAATCGAAAATATGTTTCATAATTTTCTTATAGATTTGGGATACAGCAGGAGAAGAAAAATACAAAACAATATTGCCAACGTACTGTAGAGCTGGAAATGTAATTTTATTAATTTTCCATTTAACATCATATGAATCGATCACAAAAATAAAAACAATTATTTCTGAATTACAAAAACATTGCGAAAAACATGTCGTTGTGATTTTAATAGGCAACAAACTTGATTTGATAGAAACGCGAGAAGTGTCCGAAAAAGAAGCAAAAGAATTTGCTTCTTCAATTGATGTATCATATTATGAAGTATCAGCATTGACAGATTATGGAATTGATGATGTTTTTCAGAAGGTAGCTTCTGAATTGGTTAATTTAATTAAACAAGGGAATACAAACGTATATACCAAAATATACACCTCTTGAGCCCGATTATCAATAATAAAGTAAGTATATGTGTACATAAAATGGTTAGATTACAATATATTGCTACAAATCACTTAAAAAAGCACAATTTTAACATTAATATTATGTTATATAAAAATCAAACTTTTAAAAATAATTATTAAGCATATATCTATTTTAATTAAAAATGAAGTTAAAAGACGTGGACGTCCTTTTGAGAAGGGACCACGTTGTTCAATTTTCCCTATTGATAAGTTAGGAAATGTTCTCAGTAATCGAAGAGAAAATTTTGGTTTTCTGTACGAGTATTTTGGTTTTTAATGTGATGTAAATTCGCTCACAACTGCGTTTACTTTCTACAATTGAATTAGTGCAAATCAGCTGATTTTTAAGTGACTCAGTTTTCATGACTGCATTCAGTCAACTTTCATTTGAAATCAGTTGAAAACGACTGCATTTTTAATTATTGTTCAAATCACTAACTGAGCAGTTAAAAATAACAATTTCAGTAATTAATATTTAATTTAATTTAATTTACTTTCAACTATTCAGTCAATGAAAAACGAATGAAAATTCAATCATATATGACCGTCCACGACAAAAAGAGGCCTAGCTCCTAAAAATTTTAGTGTTAGTTTTACTTTCATGAAAACTTTCATTTCAATTAGGTAAAATCAAATAAAATTTTTTTTTTCTTTAAAAAAATCAAAAATATACTTAAAAAATGTTGGCTCCTAAGCCTCCTTTCGTCATGGGTGGTCACATATCTCACTCAATTTCAAAAAAAGTCCACTGTATGAAATCGCGAGAATAGTCGCTGGAAAATCAGGACATTTTCATTAATTCAGTTTTAGAGAATAAAACAAAAAAAGAGTCTGTGCCCGAGGAACAAAACATAATGCAGTCATTAATCACGTCGTCCCTCATAACACGATATTTTTCTAGAAGCTTTCATCGAAAATCACTGACATTCAAATGGATGGTTCCTGGAAAATCAGGATATCCCGCTCGTAGGAACCTTACACCGGAAAGTAATATTTCGAACGAATGAAATTTCTTTCTTATCAAAATATACAAAAGTACATTAAAAAATCTTAAATTGTTTGTTTTCCCATGATATTTCGGTGGAAGGTTCTTGGAAGATTCTGTGGAAGGTTCCTATGAGGCGGACATCCTGGCATTCCAGGAAACTTCCATTCGAATGTCACTGACCTGCCATGGAAGTTTCCAAGATGATATCGTGCTATGTCGAGTACGCCATGTTATTGGAATCATGCGTTTCCACAATGTCTCAATAAAAAACAGGGTGTCTAGCGACCCGGGAAATCGGGAAAATCCTGGAAAATTTTTTTATTATTTGTAAAATTATAACTTTTTTTAAAACAATTTTCGACTCTTTACATGTAAAATCCTGTCTATTTTGTGAGTGCAATTACTTTTTGACAATAAAATATGTTATTTTATAAACAAATTTTTTTTCTTAAAAATTTTGTTTAAACATTGTTTATTATGATTCGAATATACTTGTAGTGAGAAAGTACTTCAATATTTTGAACCGGGAATTTGAAGAATGAGAAATAGTAGACACCCCGAACTACCAAATTGCTAGACACCTTGAAAAAGAAACATCTGGAAGTTGTAGGAAAGCATAAAAGAAACAAATTCCCGAAGTCATTTGATGATCTTAACAATGATGGAAAACCTCTTGATACTGGTCACCATTTCATCTTGGGCAAACTTATAGAGCACAATAATTACCGTAATAAGCGGAAAGGTGGTTTAAATTCAGCATTACAAAGTCCGTTAAAACAACAATTGGCATTGCAAGATTTTATATCGACTATTACTAAATTCGAAAAAATATGAAATATATTAATAATAAAAATAACTGAAATATGCGATGCGCGGAGAATCATCCATTCACGTTAGCGATTATTATAAAAATAAGACGAAATAATTAAATGAGGCTCTACATCTTAAAGAGGATCACACCTAAATTTTAGACACACTTTCACCTCCAATAAAAAATTTTTACGAAATTTGCTATAATTAAATTTTAACTAAAAGAGAAAATTGTTAAAATAGAATTATAGAAATTTTCAAAATTTCATTACCGGAGATGTAACGATGCCTAAAATTTTAGAGTTGTCCTTTTTAAGTTTTAGAGCCTCAAATGTATATTTATGGACAACTCTAACGCTTACAATTTTTTTTAGATGGTTCGCATTCGAGTATGGTCTGCCAACCGAGAAAGAAAATGCATAATTTCCTTTGATATGCCGAACAGCGTACCCCAAGTGATAAACAAGGCTAATGAAAAACTAGGCCTCAATGGCACAACACTTAAATCTGAAGAAGACGGGACGCAAATATTTGACGACGATGACCTCATGTATTATGTGGAAAAGGACAAACCTATCTTGGTAATGCAAGAAAGTCAGCTTTGGGCCAATCGCAGTATGACTAACTTACTGTTGGATTTACCTGTTATTAGTCATACGGAAAATCAAACTTTGCAGCCTTCTGAAACAGGGTTGACTCAAAACGTAGAGAGTCAACTGGAGTTGTCCGATGTTCCCAATTCGCTCGATGTGCCAGAAGCTCAAGAAGGAGGAGAAGAAGTAGCTCAAATTCCGCTAGACGAAAACAATGAAGTAAATGAGTTTCTTGTGCAAGAACGAACGATTTTCACTACGTGGGAGGATTATCAAGTTGATTGGACGAAAATCTCGTCAGACGCTTTGGAACTGTGCAATCGAGGGACCAAAGATAATGATGTTATCAATCGCGTCATTCGTCAAGTTATTGGAAGCATGCTTTTCCACAATGTTCCAATCAAAAAGAAGCATTTAGAGCTCATAGCTAAGCAGTTCCGAGACAAATTCCCGAAGTCATTTGATGACCGTACGAATGATGGAAAACGTCTCGATACTGGTTACCATTTCATCTTGAAGAAACTTTTAGAGCACAACAATTACCGTAAGAAACGAAAAGGTGGTTTAAGTACAGCACTGCAAATACCGTTAAAACAACAACGTGCTTTGGAAATAAGAAAAAGTGGGACCATCAACTGGCAGCCGGATGAACATCCAGAAGGGAAAACCGAGGAATCTTTGAAACTGAAACAGGATTTCCTAAAAAATATTAACACCGACGCGACATTCGATATGACCACAGGGGATATTGCAGATGCACTCCAAGCAACCTATTCTTCTCAGAGATTTTTCATCAACCAATTTCCAGGAGAAACGCCACTTTTGCAAATCCTACAAGATTGGCCGATTTTTTTGTCAAAAACTTGCCTTCTTTGGCATTTTTCAAAATTAACTGGATGTTCACTTGACATACCGCTCGAAAGCTTTCAACAGAAAGTGAAGACGATTTTAATTTTTGGATATGAAAAAATGCATCTGCCATACGAACACTTGTCGGAGAGCAAACGCCTGCAACACATGTGGACAGTGATCCAGAAGAGATTTAATGAAAATGATGTTAATCTTCTTCAAACATGCTCGGTAAGTAATATATATTACATTTTTATTATTGAAACGCAGTTACTGGGTTGTTCAGGAAATGTTTTTGTTCAGGGAAAATAAGGAATTTGAGTAAAAATCAAGGAACTTGTTCAAAATAACCCGAGTAATGTTCAAATAATTTTTAAGGGTATGATCTATCAGAATAAGGATATAGTTACAAAAAAATATTTGACATGCCTATTTTTCTAAAAAACTCCAATACTGCAAATGACCAATTTCTCGATAATTTCTTCTGTGTCTGTTTGCTCAAAAAAGAAAAAAAAATTCTAATGACCCGTGTGGTACTCAAATTTATCTTGAGGGTGTAATGTAAAAGAAAATATATAAAGTTACTACTAAAATTCATTTTTTAACATTCCTATTCAGCTCAAAATGTCCATAACTGAAAATGAACAAATTTCTAGATAATTTCTGCTGTGTCTTTTTGCACCAAAATATCAATAAATAATTTCTAATTACTCCGGACAGTGTTCCAATTGATCTTGAGGGTGTTATGTATAGGAAAATATATATAGTTATTATAAAAATACGTTTTTGACATTTCCATTCAGCTCAAAAAATAAAAAAACTGAAAATGACCAATTTCTACATAATTTCTGATATGTATTTTTGCTCCAAAAAATCAAAAACTAGTTTCTATTAACCGGGTAATGTTTAAATTAATCTTGAGGGTTCAATCTATCACAAAATATATATGGTCACTACCAAAATACATTTTTGATATTTATTTTTAAATCTGTTGATTTTTTTTAAATTCTAATATTGAAATGTATTTATTCGGTCTCAAAAATCTGTCTGAACAATGTTTACTAAAAATATGACAAAAAAAAATTTATTGAAATCTTTGATTTTTTTAATAGTTTTCCGTAAACGAGAGAGATGTACAAATCAACCTTGCATATCCGTGCATTATTAGGCGAAGTTTACAAGGTTGCAGAATTGCTTCATCGAATACTGAAAATCAAGAAGTGAAAAACGATTTGCCGGTTATTCCTCAAGATGAATTGAAGTGTAGGTACTTTGTTTGTTACGAAAAAAGGGTATTTATGCGATGTGAATCTCTCTTAGAATCATTGCAAATGATGATATTTTTGTTTTTTGTCTTTAATGGAAAGTACCCTTCAACTCTCGCAAGTACTTTAGTATTCATCGAAATGTATATACTCAATATTTATGATAAAAACAGTATTAACAATCCTTGCAGAGCAGGCAACCGAAAGGCTAAAGATAAAGTTTTAACTTTGTATAATTTATTAAAAAAAAAAAAACAATGCGGATCACGATCCTTAAAATGCAACAAACGTCAATGTAGTCTACGAGAGAGAGCTTTGAATAATAATTTATGTTTATCTTAAAGACTGTTACTAAACTTTTCACATATATACGAGTGAAAATATTAAACATAAATACTGGAATTATTGAGACTGATCTTAAATACGTTAAAATAAAAAATAAAAATGTTGAGACTGTTATTAGTTTTAAGATTGCGAGGTATCGAAAAATAATTTATACACCAAAAAAGTATAAGCGTTATTTGGGTAATAATTTATAAAAATATATGTTTTTAATTTTAAGGAAACACTAAACTGTTGAAAACAGCTTCTATTACGATAGAAAATCTACAGCTTTGAGAGATTTTATAAATAAAAAAGTTTGATGTTTGTAAAATTATGTCTTAATTTAGTGAATGTCTTAATTTCCAGTTATGCGCGAATACAATTTTATTTATGTAATTTATGTCATCTACATAGTTTGTATATATAATTTCTCTAAATTTTTTTGGCAATTGATTAAAAAAAGATTTTAAATAATTGTTTTTATTATTTTCTTAATTATTTTCTTTTTCCTATTTTATTTTCTTTCCATTTTATGTTAATCTTTTCTTCAGTCTGTTTTACAATTGCATAGCTTAAAATCCGGGGAAGTAACAAAAACTTTCTCACTTAATGTTGGCACCATATCAGGATTTTCTGGAGAGAAATAATACTCAGAAATATTTTATCAATTCACATCGTTTTTAAATACGGGAATAATCTACACAATGGATTTAAAGAAAGATGATAATCCTAAGGTATTGTATTCTATTAGTAATAATGGTAATTTTTTATTTCTATTTCAAAAAATATTTTAATAACATTATTTTTTGTGAATTTTAGATTGTCCGTGAAATTAAAGTAGAAGGTTTCAATCCCAGTTTATATACAACAGTTCAAGTGTTCTACACAGTTTTCTTGTGTGTATCAAATTGATACAAGAATTAAGATCAACTCATGCAACGTTTTGATTCGATATAAGGTATCAAATTGATCCAAATATTTGGATCATTTTCAAGAAATGATCCAGAATATGGGATCATTTTTTGATACCTGAATTGGTATCAAAGTATAACTGTCATGGCTGGCATGCTCTTATTGACAAGTTTATTAATTAATTTATTCACTGCACTGAATATTCAGATATTAAAAATACTTTTATTATGAATTTTAAGAAAGAGAGAAGCGAAAACTTCTAAATTGCGAGCAATTAAATAAGAAAAAATTTATTTCGAAATAAAATGAAATACACTAACCTTTATTTATGTTTATCACATAAGATTTAAGTTGAGTTCACAATCACAACACTTGAAAATTTTTAATTATTTTTGTGGTTCAAATAATTATCAATAATTTATTTATTATAAATGAACAAAATTTAAGCAATGCACGCTTGATAAATATTTCTAATGCGTTCTCAATTAATGCAATTAATAATTTCCTATAACACAATATAATAATCGACATATATGACATTTGTAAACAAACAGGGTTGGGAAACAAGAGCCCAAAATATGTTCGTCCAAAGCAGAGTTGGGTAGGATTGAAATTCGCTTTGGACGAATATATTTTGGGCTCTTGTTTCCCAACCCTGTTTGTTTACAAATGTCATATATGTCGATTATGATATTGTGTTATAGGAAATTATTAATTGCATTAATTGAGAACGCATTAGAAATATTTATCAAGCGTGCATTGCTTAAATTTTGTTCATTTATAATAAATAAATTATTGATAATTATTTGAACCACAAAAATAATTAAAAATTTTCAAGTGTTGTGATTGTGAACTCAACTTAAATCTTATGTGATAAACATAAATAAAGGTTAGAGTATTTCATTTTATTTCGAAATAAATTTTTTCTTATTTAATTGCTCGCAATTTAGAAGTTTTCGCTTCTCTCTTTCTTAAAATTCATAATAAAAGTATTTTTAATATCTGAATATTCAGTGCAGTGAATAAATTAATTAATAAATTTGTCAATAAGAGCATGCCAGCCATGACAGTTATACTTTGATACCAATTCAGGTATCAAAAAATGATCCCATATTCTGGATCATTTCTTGAAAATGATTAAAATATTTGGATCAATTTGATACCTTATATCGAATCAAAACGTTGCATTCTAAAATGATACCATCAAGTTTACAGTGTATACAAGTAAAGACGGAACGAAAATTCCTATGTTTATAATAATGAAGAAGGTAATTTACAATTTTTTTTTTAAATATTAAGAATTAAAAGTATATTATTTCATTTTTATTTTGACATTATTTGAAATTTAATTTACTTTTCAAAATTATACAAATAATAAATTGTTTATACAGGGAGCAAAATTGGATGGTTCTATGCCAGCATTGCTTTATGGGTACGGAGGATTTAACGTTAGCTTGCTACCTACATTTACTGTATCGATATTAGTTTTTATTCAACATTTGAATGGAGTTTTAGCAATACTAAATATTCGCGGAGGAGGGTAAGATTAAAAATTGTTTTTTTTTTAATTTGTTACAATTTAAATTACAAGTTTCACATTATCACATGAATTTTCCAAATAAAAAAAAATTTAGCGAGTATGGCGAAAAATGGCACAATGATTGAAAATTATTTAAGAAACAAAACTCCTTTGATGATTTTCAAAGTAAGATGTTTAAAAAAGATTTTAAATAATTGTTTTTAACTTTAAAATATTTCTATCAATTGCAATAGAAAATAATATATTTCGTAATATGTGCAATTGAAACATTCTGCACAAAATTGACACACTTTATGTAAATGATAAAAATTGTATATGAAAAAATATTTTTGTAATCAATATGAATTTTCTTTTTGACTGTAAAGATGACGTAAAAATGGTAAAATTTTACGACACGAGTTATTTTATCCTTACATAGGACAATTCATAAAAGTTTTTGTTCATAATTTAAATTAAACTTGAATATGAAAAACAAAAATGTTAATGTTTCTTGTGCAAAAATATAGGAATAAAATATAGAGTCTAATTGTGTTTATAATTATTTTTTCTTTATTTTATAAAATTCTTTAGCGAACATTAATAACTTAAAAGTAAATACCTTCATCGTAATCGCACAAAAAGTATAAATTATTCCCATTTTTTTTCTAAACATAAAAATTTAATATCTACGTTTAAATGTTAAAATGACTCAATTTTTGGTGGTCTTACAATTTAATTGTTTATATCAAAATTGCTCCACGTGTATGTATGTATGTATGTACGTCCATTAATTCAGTGTGTAAGTAACTTTGTTAAATAATAACTTATTTAAAATATTTCAATTAATTTGGATATTCAAAATAACTGCACAAACTCATTTTGTATTTTTAACCAATGAAAAATTGTTTTATGCATATTTCATCATTTTAATAAACAAAGTTTGTTTCGTTGAATATTCTTTTTTATTTAAAAAAATATATAACACACCCTTCCCGAATAAAAATAATATTAATAAAATAATGTTAAACTTATATTGATTGAAATAAATAAACAAAAAAACATTAATTTTTTTGTAAATCGTGCAAAATTTTGAAAAAATAATATTTTTTAAAGCCTTAATTTCATTTTTTTTAATGGTGAAAAATTTTGGGAATTTTACCAAATTTAAGAAAAGTACTATTTTTGAAATGTCATTTTCACTATTTTTGGAAATTTTATAAAATTTCGGAAAAGTATTCTTTTTTCAAAGCAATTTTATTTCAGTCGGTAACATCGTTGATGTCTGTATATTTACTTTCTCTTGCGTTTAAAATACCAGAAAGTGTAACTGTACAGTTCGTGGCAATTTTCCCATCTCGTCTGGAAAATTACATAACCTAAAAATTTTATTCCCATCGACAGTAAAAGTGCCGTTCTGATAGTGGGTAATAATCTTCCCCACTTTCAAAGTGGTAAAATTCCATTAAGTCTTTTTACAGTGTGTGCGTATATTATAAATTTCAATATTTGGGAATTTTCCAAAAATTGTTAATATTACTTTAAAAAAATGGTAATTTTACACGCTAATGTATTTTTCTAAAGAAACGGGAATATTACCAACACTTGTGATTATACTACATTAAAAACAGGAAAAATACTACAGTGTGGAATTGTCATTTTTGCTTTAGTAAGGTTACGTTCGCCAATGGTAATTTTCCCATCTAGTGCAGTTTCACAGCCGTCAGTCATTTCGTCCTTTTGAAAGTGGGTAACATTATTACCCACTTTAAAAGGAGGAATTTCGCCGAGGAATGGAAAATCCCAATATTCGAAACAGTAAAATTACCAAATATTGTATTTTCCATTTTGGACCCTGTATTATTTCTGCATTTAATATAGTATTTGTGCCATGGATTCTTAAAAGTAAAATTCCTATCTTTGGGAAAATTCTGTTTGGACTTTTTACAGTGTATCAAATTGATCCAAATATTTGAATCATTTTCAAGAAATGATCCAGAATATGGGCTCATTTTTTGATACCTGAATTGGTATCAAAGTATAACTGTCATGGCTGGCCTGCTCTTATTGACAAGTTTATTAATTAATTTATTCACTGCACTGAATATTCAGATATTAAAAATACTTTTATTATGAATGTTCAGAAAGAGAGAAGCGAAAACTTATAAATTGCGAGCAATTAAATAAGAAAAAATTTATTTCGAAATAAAATGAAATACTCTAACCTTTATTTATGTTCATCACATAAGATTTAAGTTAAGTTCACAATCACAACACTTGAAAATTTTTAATTATTTTTATGGTTCAAATAATTATCAATAATTTATTTATTATAAATGAACAAAATTTAAGCAATGCACGCTTGATAAATATTTCTAATACGTTGTCAATTAATGCAATTAATAATTTCCTATTACACAATATCATAATCGACATATATATGACATTTGTAAACAAACAGGGTTGGGAAACAAGAGCTCAAAATATGTTCGTCCAAAGCAGAGTTGGGTAGGATTGAGATTCGCTTTGGACGAACATATTTTGGGCTCTTGTTTCCCAACCCTGTTTGTTTACAAATGTCATATATATGTCGATTATGATATTGTGTAATAGGAAATTATTAATTGCATTAATTGACAACACATTAGAAATATTTATCAAGCGTGCATTACTTAAATTTTGTTTATTTATAATAAATAAATTATTGATAATTATTTGAACCATAAAAATAATTAAAAATTTTCAAGTGTTGTGATTGTGAACTTAACTTAAATCTTATGTGATGAACATAAATAAAGGTTAGAGTATTTCATTTTATTTCGAAATAAATTTTTTCTTATTTAATTGCTCGCAATTTATAAGTTTTCGATTCTCTCTTTCTTAAAATTCAAAATAAAAGTATTTTTAATATCTGAATATTCAGTGCAGTGAATAAATTAATTAATAAACTTGTCAATAAGATCATGCCAGCCATGACAGTTATACTTTGATACCAATTCAGGTATCAAAAAATGATCCCATATTCTGGATCATTTCTTGAAAATGATCCAAATATTTGGATCAATTTGATACCTTATATCGAATCAAAACGTTGCATGAGTTGATCTTAATTCTTGTATCAATTTGATACACACAAGAAAACTGTGATCCTTTACAACAAAAAATACACATTCTCTCTTCTTTTTTAAGCCAGTGAGAAGTTAGTATTATATTTGAGGGGCTGATAGTAAAAATGGTTTAAAAAAACATTGGGAGCAAAAGTGGGATAAGTGACTTGGGAGCAAAAACGGGTTAAAATGATTCGTGTAATTTATTGATAAATTCATTATATTATCGATTAAAAAATATTAATTATAATAAAATATGCATTTTTTCCTATTGTTAATATTTTTTAATCGTTAATATAATGAATTTATCAATAAATTACACGAATCATTTTAACCCGTTTTTGCTCCCAAGTCACTTATCCCACTTTTGCTCCCAATGTTATTTTAAACCATTTTTACTATCAGCCCCTCATTTATTTGTTTAATTAAATTGTTTATATTTTTAACAAATCAATTAACTTTTTCAAATAATTAATATCAATCGAAAGCAGCTTTAATTTTAAATAAGTATACCAAAAATCAGAAAGTTTCATTAATTTGATTAATAGGTAAGCCGTTGTCCGCAGTGGCGAGACAGCCGGTGTGGCGAGACATTAGGATATTTCAGACAGCTGAACTGACTGTGCTGGCACTTCTGGTCTGAAAGTCAAGTTTTATTGTGCTTTAACTTTTCAATATGATACATACGTTTTTGATGTACGAAATATCGCTATACTGATAATAACAGTTTCAAGATATTTTAGAAGTTTTATTTCCCATCGGTATAAGTGATAATATATAAAAATTTCCGGAATTTTCTGAAGGGTTAAATGTTTTGAGTCTTTAGTATTTAAGTTTCCTTCAAAATTTCCAGAGCACTATGAATTATTGTTCGATGCATAGGATTGTACATCGTCATTACCGAAAAATGCTGTTTCCGCATTGGCGAGACACTTGTTGTCGGCAGTGGCTTTTTAATATCTAATAATATTGTACATGTCCTAATGAATTTGATATAATTTTTGTACGTTTTGTCGACAATATTTTTCATAACTATAGTTTAAATTGAAAAAGATGAACAGGAAGAAAAGCTTATTTGTTTTTAATAACTGTGACATGGATTAGCGGCTCACAATCAGAAAAATATTTGCCTGTATTTTTATGATTGAATGAAACAATATTATGATTTAAAGGCATCAATTATTTGATTCCTTTGTTTTTGTTACGTTTGAACGATAAAGACTCTGATTTTAAGATAGTGTCTCGCCACTATGGACGATTTTTTATGTCGGTAGTCGCGAGACATTATCGTAAATCGGCAATAACGTTTTTTTCCAATATCTGTTCTGTAACTGTATAAGTTAAATTTGCAGTATAGAGTCACACCTGTCCATGGATATATATACAGACTTGATGTTCTTGAAAATGTGAGTGCTATAACAAAAAAACAAAACGTGTCTCGCCACTACCGACTCTCCCTTATAGAAAAACAACTTTTTGTACCCAGATAGCACAACAAATATGTATATCGATATGTCCACCCTTTTTAAACTTATTGCAAGTGCAAACTTTCTGCAAAATCTATGCAAAAAAGCTGAATGAGTTTTCCGCAGAATTTCAAAAACAATTTGCTGAAAAATGACATGGAAAATTTTTTGAAATTTGAAAATGCAATTTTTTGGAAAATAAAATTTTTAAGTTTCCTTGAAAGTTATTTTTTTAATTTCTTTACCATAAAAATAATTCAATCGTAGGAAAAGAAGGGAGTAAAAAGAAAACAATTTTTTTTTAAAAATAACGCTTTAAAAATTTATTTTTTTTTGAATTTAAATTTAAGTTATATTACATAAAATTAAACAAACAATAAACAGATTATAATTCCCATAGGAGCTATGTGTTTCATTTAATATTTATAATATAATTTAAACTTAAAATTAAAAAAAAAGTAAACTTTTTATTAAAATTTTATCAAAAAATGTATTAGAATTTAAAACGCAAAATAATATTAAAATTTAAAAATAAATTTTTAAAGCGTTATTTCTAAACAAAATTGTTTTCTTTTTACTCCATTCTTTTCCTACGATTTAATTATTTTTATAGTACAGAAATTAAAAAAATAACTTT